ATATTTACCAAGTGGCAGCAGAGAGGAGGGATCAATTAATTCTTCCTGAAAAGTGTTGGAGAAGTTTTGAGCTGGATCTGAAAAAGAAGCAGGGATCCGAATGACGATGTGTGCACTTTTCATTTTTTTTTAGCAAACACGTAGGAATGTCTCCTTCATGCCAAGCCTTATCTAAAGGCATCAGAGCTACAGGTGTGAACAAGGTTCCTGATCTCAACAAGCTTTCAGCCTAAACATGGAGTTTAAAAATATATACCAATAATGCAATACAATGCATACTGTGCCATGCAGAGAGTTAGAGAACAAACTGCCAGGGGAGTTCACAGAGAAATTTCTTTTTTCCTTCGAGAACTATTTAAAAGAACATTTCTCATTGGATATAGTATTCACCTGGCCCTGGGCATATACCACATAAATAATTTCTGAAACAGTGACTAGTATGAATTTTACTCTGGTTATTAGGATGTGTGATATGAAAGAGTTGACCTTAAAGTAGGGAAATTATCTGGGTGGGCCTGAGCTAATTATGAGTATTTTAAAAGCTCACAGTGTTCTCTGACTGGTTAGAGAAGGGGAAAGTCAGACAGAGTCAAAGAATGAGAAGGATTTGATGTAAGAGACATTCTCTGTTGATGAGACAAAGAGGACCATGTGGCAAGGACCTTAGAGTGGTCCCCAATTGATAGCTAGCAAGACAATCTAGCGGCAGTCCTACAACCACAGGGAAATTGAATTCTGCCAGCAACCTGAAGGAGCTTGGGGCAGACCTTTTCCTCGTTGAGCCTCCAGACATCTTGACTTCAGCCTTAGGAGACCCTAAGCAGAGAACCCAGCGACACCATGCCAATTTTGTGATCTACAGAACCACTGGGTGTTGCTTTAAGCTACTAAATTTGTAATCATTTGTACACAGCAATAGAAAACTAATATGAGCACTTATAACACTGTGCTCTCATTAGCTGTTAATATATTAGTTTCCTCAACTATTGGCTCCTTGGATTCAGGCTGTATCTAATTATCCTTGTAACATTAGGCTTATTCATAAGACAGGTACTCCCTAAAATGCCAGTGAATAAAAGGTTAAATGAGACCCAGGGATGCAGATCAGGACCTAGACACACTCTGTTCGTTTCTTTTTCTCAAAGATGGGCTGACTGATACTGAGACCAATACCAGGACAAAAGGAGAAGGCTCCCCTTCAGTCAAATGCTCCAAGGCCTATATCAGAGGCAAAGTGACCAACCCAGCCTTGGCTGCCCTAGCTGCCGGTCCAATCTCAGCTTAGGTGGATATCTTTCCAAGGACATTGCTCCTAGAAGTACCACTAACTAGGACACCCCCATGTGACCTGAGCATGGTTCCACCATTTACTGTGTGACCCTGGACAAGTTACTTCACCTCCCTGTTGTGCCTCAGTTTTCTGATCTATAAAATGCAGATCATAATATCACATAGGTTTGTTGTGAAAATTGTTCACAAGAATTTTAATTCACAAGAATTAAAAATGATACATGTAATTGAAGCCCTCACCCAGCTCAGGAGGGGCCTCAGGATTTATATTTCACTGTAATACCTTAGCTATAGGTGAAAGCTAAATGCTAAGTATTTTCAAGCAGCCAAAATATAAGTTGAAAAGTATTTGAACTTCATATATTCATTTCTTATGAAATGTTTTGTGTTTGTAATACGACACAAAAGGAATAATAGTGAACACTCATGTACTGTCTACTTTGCTTACAAATACTGAAAATCTCCCATGTGATCCTCCTTGTTGATATCCCCACTCCCAAACCCCTGGAGATAACCACTACTCTGAATTTGGTGTTTGCTGTTTCTGTGTATGTCTTTATATTTTTACTACAGGGACATACAGGTGTACAGGTGTATGGGTGTACCTCAACCAAACTCATATTATTTTGTTTATTTTTAAAACTTTAAGTGACATCATACTGCTTATTCTTTTTGTCCAATACTGTTTCTAAGATATTTTCATGTTATTACATGTTATTATTGTTCTTAGCTCAAGATCAGGGGTTGGCAATTTTTTCCATAAAGGCCTGCATGGTAAATATTTTAGGCTTTGCAGGTTGTAAGATCCTATTGTAGCACAAAGGTAGCCTCAAAAAGCCTGGCTGTGTTACTATAAAACTTTTCATGTAATTTTCATATGTCATAGAAGTATCATTCAACCATTTAAAAATGTAAAACCCATTCTTAGTTCCTGTACCAAACACAAATAGGAGGGAGGCCAGATTTGGCCCAAGGACCATTGTTTGTCAATCCTGCTCCAGTTTATTCATTCTGATTGCTATAGAGTGCTTTATGTTCATTCATTTAAAAACTGTTTATTAAGCATTTACCAGGTACTATTGTAGATCAGATATGATCCCGGTTTTAAGAAATTTAGCGTGTAAGTAGGCAAGATAAGACATATTAACCAATAATAACACAGAAAGTGATAAAAGCTCTAAGAGAGGTTTGTATGGGCTGCCATGAGAGCTAACAGGAGTGGTGGCAGAAGAGCTCGTTTCACATTGCCACAGTAGCTGACGAAATGGGCTCTGGAGCTGGGTTGCCTGAGTTCCTCTTCTGGCTCCACCATTCACTAGCTATGTGACCTTAGAGAAGTTACTTCACCTTTCTGTGCCCCAGTTTTCTTATCTGTAAAATGCAGATCATAATACTGCATAGGTTTGTTGTGAAAATTAAATTGTCACAAGAATTAAAGATAGTACATATAAAGTACCTAGAAGAGCACTGGCTCATCATAAGGATGATATAAATGTTAGTTTTGATTATTAAGGCTAGAAGATCACAGAAGGCTTCATGAAGGAAGTAGTAAATCAGAATTTTAAAAGATGGGTAGGACTTAGACATACAGAAATGGAAAGGAAGACATTCTAAGAAAATAGAACAGTGTATGGAAAAGCCTAGAGTAGCAAAGGATATATATAGAGAGAAAATTACAAGTGAATCAAAAGGAAAGTAAAGGAGAATAATGAGAAATAAATTTAGAAAGGAAGGTTGTGGCCAGATCATGGAGAGCCTTGAATGCAAGGCTAAGGAGTTTTTACTTTGTCCTGTAGATAATGAGGACTTATTAGTTTTATGAACTAGGAATGACGTAAGCTTCCAAGATCTGGCAGTTGTGGGAGGCAAGTTTGAGAGAAATGTCAAGAATTAAGATATAACTCCAACAGCCTGGGGAGAGGGGCCTCCACTAGGGCAAAGGCAGTGAGCCTTGGATGTGGGGAGGACAGGGAAGCATTTTAAGGTACACTACCTAATTTTAAGCCTGGGTGACTGGAAATACGGTGGTGCCATTATCTGAAATGGGAAATACAGAGGTTTAGAAAGTCATCTGTTTTCATATTTCTATCCCTTTGCTTGGAATGCCTGTGTCTTGTGGATTCATCTCACAGGGGCTAGCTTGGGTCTTAAAAGCTCTTTCTGAAAAGCGTATCTTACTAAGTTGCTACTTAAAACTCTTCAATACTTCTTATTGCCTATAGCAGGCATTCATTTGATCTCAGGATGCCTCTCTACTCTTAAAAATTACTGAGGACCCGGAGAACTTTTTTATGTGCAGTCTGTTACTTCTATCAATATTTACCATATTAGAAACTAAAACTGAAAAAAATTTAAAAATTTATTAATTCATTTAAAAATTACAATAATAAACCCATTACATGGTAACCTAGGCACATTTTTAATGAAAAATATACTATTTAAAACAAAATATTAATAAGAGTAGTATTTTACATTTGAGCACATCTCTTTTAATGTCTGGCTTAAAAGAAGAGAGCTGGATTCTAAAATCTGTTTCTGTATTTCTGTTGTGATATCATACGTCCTACAGAAAAGTTCACTGTACACTTGTAAAAGAATGTGAATGAAAAACCCAAAAAAACCGCTTAGCATTATTAGAAAAATAAGACTGAGTTCCCTGATCCCCCCACAAAGGATCTCAGGGACACCCAGGGGTTCCAGACCACACTTTGAAAACCGCTGATCTATAAAATAAACTCAAAGCTCTTCATCTAGACACGCAAGGACCTCCTTCCACGCTCTGGCTTCCTTTTCCTAACTTCAGCAGCATCACCGCCACAGCCACATCTCCCTACTCCGGCCACACTATCCCCTCCAGCCCCGTCACTCGCCTTTATCCTCCGCCCTCCTGCAGTGAGCTTCCCCCTCCCAGACTCCTCAAAGACCCGATTTGAACGCGCTTAGCTGCGGGATGCCTCCTTTGAGGAGCACAGGCTGGAGATGAATCTCTGTCCCTCAGTGACTGGCTGGGTGACCTTGGACAAGTAACTTCGCCTTCTGGGCTCCAGCTTCCTCACTGCTAAATGCAGTGGCGGTTAAACAACTGTGGCGCCCACAGTGCGGGGGGGCACTGAACGAGTGACCCCGCATGGCGCCCGGCCCCCGCGGGCTCGGTGCGTACTTGCTGAAGGGATGAGCAGCGCAGGAACCCTGGACGCTCGGTCCCCGGCACCGTTCCGTGGGCTTAGCAAACGCTCACTTATTCTCCTCACGTCAACCCTCCAGGTCAAGGGCTGCCGCGGGGAGGTGCGGGGTAACTCGCTCAAGGGCATCGCACAGCCGGCCACTAGCAGAGCTGGGGTTCGTCCCAAGCCGCGCCCCGGGTCAGCTGGCCTTCGGGGCCCAGCGCTGCCTCGGAACCGGCTACCTGCGGCGGCGGGATCAGAACCCGAGCCCGAGTCCTCGAGCTCTCTCCAGGCCTCAGTTTACCCATCCGTGAGACGCGAGCCCGACAGCCAGGAACGGAAGGAACGCCAGCAGGACCCAGCCAAGAAAGCCGGAGGCGGCGGGGACTGCCAGACAGGGGCCCTCCGCCGCGCCCGCCCCGCCCCGCCCCCGCGCGCGAGCCCAACGGCCCAGGCGCGCGCCACCTCGCGGCGGGAGGCGCGGGGGCGGGGCGGGGCCGGGGAGCTCCCGCCCCCCAGTTCCCCGCTCGGCCGCCGCCACTGCCGCCGCCTCGGTGGAGCCCCCCGCCGCCCGCCCCCTTCCCGCGTCCTCTCTCCCTCCCTGCGCAGCGGAAACATGGCGGCGGGAAGGGAGTGAGCCGCCGGTGCCCCCGCCGCGCCCGCAGGTAAGCGCCTCGCGGCAGCCTCCGCTCGCCGGAGTAGCCCGCGCCTGAGGGGCCGCCCTGGGCTAGGAGGCGGCGGCGGGACCTGCGCAGCTGCTGCGCGCGCCCCTCCCGGCCCGGGGTCCGCCTGTCTGTGGGGCCGGCCTGCCCGCCCGTCTGCGGTCCGCGCGGGGCCGCGGCCCTTCCCCTTTGGTGTCAGCCGGGCCCGGAGCCCCGGCAGCCCGTTCTGCATCTGTGGTCGCGCCGGCAGGGCCCAGTGTCCGGCCGGCGGCCCTGAAGCGGCGGGGACGGCCCGGGGACGCCGGCACGGGAAAACCAAGGACAGGGGCTCCTGGGAGGGTCGGCATCGCGGGGCGGTCACCGAGGGGTCGCTGGTTCCAGGCCGGCGGCGCTGGGGTGGGCCAGGGAAGGTTCTAGGGCTCTGGGCCGAGGGCCAGGAGTCGGCGCGATGTCTGTCTGCGCGCAGGTCAGTAGGTGAGCGGATGCCTGTGGTCCTGGCCGGCCCAGTCCCGGTTCCCGGCAGGCGAGGACCGGGGTCGGCGGGGCGGCATGGCCCAGCGAGGGCCGGGGGCGCCTGGGGCCCAGAGCTGTCAGCAGCGTCCTCGGGGCTGGGCTCCGGCGGCAGAGCTGCGCGGGACAACTCACGTGTGCCGCCAGCCCCGAGCCCCGCCGGAAACGGGTGGGGAGAGCAGGTTTCAAACGTCGGATGCGGCGGGAGCAGCGGGGCAGCGAAGTGAGTTAGCGTTAAAAGGAGTTTCCAGAGGATGAGTGAACCCCAGAACATCCCCTGACCCGAAAGGAATTTAAAAGTCATCTAGGGTCTCTTTCTCCCATCCCGTGTCAAAGTATGTTTGATAATCCCAAATTCCACCCTAATAATTTGACGAACCTGTTTGGACACCTCTTCCAGTGATGAGAAAGTAATCTCTTCCCGAGGAACCCATTCTCTTCCTGAACAGATTTGGTTATAAGTTGAAAGAAACAGCTGTCTCCCATCCTTCCTAGTTCGTTCCCTTCCCTTATGGGCAGCCGTTAAGATATTTGAAGATAGTAATCATGTCCCCCGAGTCTTGTCTTCTCTTCGTTTCCAGTTCTTTCAGTTATTTCTCATGCTTGGCTCCCTGAACCATCCTCGGGATGAGCTCTAGTTTGCCCATATCCCCTTTAAAGGAGAACTTAATGTGAGTGAGGAGACAAAGCCTATTAAGTTTCTCCAAAAAGCTCCTTGGCTGCAAGGATTGACCTGTTTAAATAAAAGGTACTCTGTTCCCTTCCTTATTTTTGTGCTATGTTTTGAACTTAAAAAATTAAAGAAGGCATCTAGTAGTGTTTGTTCAAACTAAAAGAGGTCTGATTTTGTGGAAATTTGGGGATTTTTTTCTTTTTAAAATGTCTGTGAATAATTTATCAAGTGAGCCAATGTACATTAAAGTGTTTTTAAAGTGTAATGTGCCTTACAAATAGAATAATTTATTACTTTTACTCTGAAAAGAATTGAGACTTAGTTTGGTGCCAAACTGCAATTTAATATTTGGTTGGAGAGGAAAATGCTTTATTACATTGAACTCTTTGCTCTATTTCTAACTGCCAGCAAAAGGCCCAAAATTACTATGAAAAAGAACACTTTTTGTTACTCACCAGCATTATTTTTTACTTTTTAATCTCTTAGCCTTGGTGGTATTTGGGGTTAAGTTTTTAAAAAGAATCTTTTACCAACCCCCTAAACTCCTGCCTAAGCTGCAGGTTAGTAACTTTTTAAGCCCAGCAGAGATGTCATGGCCTTGTAGATAAAATGTCTAGCTCTTGTTTCTGGGACCCTGTTCAAGTTCTCAGCAAAGTTTCACTGTTTTTATAACTTAGACAAGCGCATACCAGCAGTCAGAATTGGCTCTTTATCTTTGTTCTTATGTCTTCATTTTTCAAATTGGTCAGTAGTTTTGAAGTTTATAGCATATATGTCAAGTTTAATTTCTGGTATATTTGTGCAAATGCTGTTTCCCTTTTATGTAAAATGGGTAAAAATTTGTATAGCACCATTCTGTACAGAACTATACAGATCCAGAAAGGCTCTGGTTCCTTCCCTTCAAAGGACTTGGAGTAAAAGGTACTAAACTGTGAGAAAAAACTTGTGCGAATATCTCATGGAAAATTTAAACTTAGTATGTTTTAACCTTCATTGTACACTTTTGTACGTACTGTGGGTCAGGTACTATGCTATGTACTGTGCTTAGCTAAGTATACAAAGATGAATAAAATACCTTTCCTATCCTTATGGAGCTGGTAAATTAGATGCTTAAATATAGTATCTTAGAATAAAAGGTGAGAACTATGTATAGCTGAGATATGCAAGGTGAGAGCTGCAGTTGCCCAAAGGTGAGGGCACTTAGATTAGTTTAGGAGTTGAGGAAAGGCTTTGGAAAGAGATGACACTTGACCCAAATCTTAAATGGTAAATAGGAGTAAGCTAGGCAAAGCTAAGTAGAAAGTGTGTTTCAGACAAAGAAAGCAGCTTGAGCAAAGGCATCAATATGAGAAAAGGAATGGCTTGCATAGTGAATCACAAGCAGGTTAGGACTGCTGAGAATATAACAATAAAGATTAAGTGGTAAATTGTGAGGCTGGAAAAACAAGCAGAGGCCATGTCATAGGGGACCTTGTATGCATAAGTATCTTGAAATTTCATAGGTTTTTATTGTTGTTGTTGAGAAATAGTAAAAGAAAAAAAGGTGATTTTTTTTAATTTTTTTTTTGGATCACTGAAAGGTTTTCATCAGACATGATTTTAAAATGCGGTGAGGCCAGCCACAGTGGCTCATGCCTGTAATCCCAGCACTTTGAGAAGCCAAAGTGGGAGGATCGCTTGAGACTAGGAGTTTGAGACCAGCCTCAGCAACCGTGAGACCCCATCTGTATAAAAAATAAAATTAACCAGACAGGGTGGCGAGTACCTGTAGTCCTGGCTACTTGGGAGGCTGCAGGAGGATTGCTTGAGACCAGGAGCTCAAGGCTGCCATCATACCACTGCACTCCAGCCTGGGTGACAGAACAAGACTCTTGTCTCAAAAATAAAAAAAAAAAAATAGAAAGAAAAGAAATGTCATAGGAATGAAGAGAAAGAGATGAATTTGAGAAAAATCTGTGAGACTTTATAATTGATTGGATGTGAAGGCAAAAGGGTGAGGAGTCCAGTGTGATGCTCAGGTTTTTGGCTTCGGTGACCAGGAGTATGGTGGAAATATTAACTGAGACAGGAAACAGTGGATGATGAGTTTAGTGGGGTTTTTTCTTTTTCTTTTTTTCCTATTTCAGAGTATTATGGGGGCTGAGTTCAGTTTTGAACTTCAATATTTTGCAATTTCTTGAGTTAGATCAATGAGCAAATGGAGTAGGATAAAGCTGGGGGGGAAGGTGTGGTCAGAAAGTGGAATATTGGAGATAAGTTGTCTGATGGGGAGCTGTTCTAGGTGACAGCTAGGTCTCTCTAGCTGAAATATACAGCAGAGTTGAAGGTCAGTGAAGCTGAATATGACAAGGAACTGTGAGGCTAGTGTATTGAATGTCATCCATGTGGATAGTGAAGTAATTTAGGATGACACGGTGTAAGGAAGATAGGAAGATTGTGACCCAGGTGCAGTGAAGATAGGAGATTAATCGGGAGGGTGGTAGATGACAGATGAAGAGGTGGGGTCAAGAGTGATATAGCCAGATGGTGCAAACCTCAAAGGAGGATGGGTTTTTAAACACAAGAGTGGAAACGTAATGGTTTTTGACTTTTCCTTCCTAGAAATAGGGTTCTGATCTCTTTATCTGTATTCAGGATGCATATTAATTCTTCTATTTGCCCTGAAGAGTTGGTTCTTAGTCTTAGGAAGTGGGAGGGCAGATACCCCATATCAGATCATTTCTGCTAATACTTAATGACAAAAGGCAGTGGAGGTTTGTCCTCTGATGATTATTAGTGGGTGGATAGGAAATAGTCATTTAACACAGTGAGGATATACCATGGTGTCTGGGCAGATTATAGTGAAAAGAGGCTAGGCTTTGAAGTTAGAAAGATCAAGATTCAGATCTAGACTCTGTTCACTTACTAGTCTTATGACTGTAAACAAACTGTTTGGTCTCTGTGAGCTTCAGTGTCCCTATGTATAAAAAATAGCTTCCTGCTTTGTAGGGTGTCACAGAAATATTACATAAAAAAATATGTATACACACATGTAAAATCACTAGGAAAGCAGTTGGTGTTTCATAGATACAAAGTAAATGTTAGTTTCCTTCCACCTACATGTAAGGGGCTTGTGCTTTGCTAGCAGAAATGAAACTTTTTCATGTTTACCTAGATTATAAGACAGGATATAATTTTTCAGTAGATAGGCTTAGTGAGGTTAAGAAACTCTAAGGGAAGTAGAAGGAAAGTGATACAACAGTTCAGAGGAGGGAGATACCATTTCTTAACATTTGCAAACAAGGTTAGGCTTCACATTCAAGAACTTCATTTGGGCCTTGGAGAGCAAATTTCAGTAGATTAAATAATAATTTAGGTAGCAATACAAAGTAGAGAAAGTATAGGATATGCTTGTTAAAAGCTGATAGCTTCCACAGGTTTGAGTGTTGTGATTATATAAGTTAATAGGGGTAAATGTGACTGGAGAGGTGGGCTGGGGCCATAGTATTAAAAGAACTGAAACTATGCAGTTTAGAGTTGATTCTGGATAAACTAGGGAGCCAAGATTGTACACCCTTTCCCTACCTCAGTTTACTATCTGTAAAATTTATAAGCATTAATTCAGAAACTTCAGATTTTTGTTTGAAGTGAACCAAGTAAGAAATTCCACATTTGAAAATAAGTTTCTATGTAGGCCAATTCTAGGTTTAAAAAATAACTACTAAGACTTGTTTTATAGTTTAATCTTTACAATAACCTTGTTTGATAGATAGGCTTAGTGGGGTTAAGAAACATACAAGATGTCACTGGTAGAAAGTGATTTCAAATTCTGCCTTTTCCA